AGCTTTACAAAAATATGGACACGCTTGAACAGTATTCAAGAAAAAAATTCCCTCGAGATTGAGGGCATTCCAGAAAATGTTTGCAACGACAAAGAGGCGGTTTCTGAAAGTCGCAGAAGCCCTGAACGTCAACTTTAAGCGAGAAGATATCGACATCTGTCATAGAATCGAAAGAAAAAAGACGAAGCCTCCCATAGCAATATTTATTAGCTGCAAAGTTAAGAGGGTACCCCACAAGCAATGAGTTCAACTAAAGAATGTCAGTTTCTCGCAGTTCTTCCCGAGCGCATCTACAGTGGCGCCGGAGGAAAAAGAGCAAATCTTCATCTTTACTTTATATCTTTGCATTAAGTATCTTTTATTTTCAAAAAGTAACAAAGAACGGCAAGGCTAGCCTAGCTAAAATCAACGTATGCGTTCTGTCTACCTTCCTGATACAGTTTTCCATCAAAATTGTTCTTCATATATTTCCTTCTATATTCATTTTTTGGTGTTCATTTCTTAATATATTTTTAATTAGTCCACTCCTGGTTGAATATTTTTTTAATCCTAAAAATACGTCGACCAATCAGAGCGAACCTTGTAAGAGCTGCGTACCACCTCCATTTCCGTCCCACCGACTTCAAAGTTGGTCTTACAGGCCAAAGAAGGGACCTTAAATAAAGTTCAATTCCCTCTATACTTGACTGGGCACCAGAAAAGGTAAGCCTGAGAGAAGAACGTTTAAAAATACGGGCTGAAAATATTTCTTGTGCTCAGACAGAGGAAGCAAAACATTCAATGAAAAAATTCTACAAGACCGTGATTCGCCGATGCTTTTAATGTAGTCGCTTCTAGATTGCAAAATAGTGAAGTTCGCTGGTCCTCCAAACCTTGGAGAATTTGTGGAGAACTTGAAAACTGAGGTTTAGCGTTTGAAAGAAGAACTTTCTAAGGCAAGGGAGAAAGAATACAGTTTTAGGTTTGGGCTCGAAAGGTTTAGCACAAGCCCTAAAGATATAAATTTCTACACTGGGTTCCCTGATTACGAGACACTTGTGGCATTTTGGCAGTACATTGAACCCAATGCAGCGAACTTGACTTATTATATCAGTGCAAGGGATGCTTCTGGCCTTGTTTCAAATGTTCCATTTCCATGTTTCAATGCAACTGGGAAGAAATTCCCGGGTAAAGGAGTTGGTGCCCAACGTACTCTGCAGCCTATAGATGAATTTTGGCTCTTCCTAACTCGAGTTAGGTTGGGCCTTTTTGAACGTGACTTAGAATTCAGGTTTAACATTTCTACATCCACAGTATCTGATATTGTAAATACATGGAGTAATTACTTGTTTGTAATCCTCGGCAGTTTACCAAAAGTTTGGCCCTATAAAGATGTTATAAAGCAACACCTTCCCAAGGTCTTCGAAGGAAGGTTTGAAAATATTAGGTGTATAATTGATTGTACTGAGGTTAAGTGTGAGAAACCTCAGGACCCTTAAAAGCAGTCGATACAGCAATCATTTTATTTGCTCAAATTAATGTCATCGCTATCAGAGCTATTTTTCTTCACGATTGAACAGTGTATTGATGGTTTAGTCTTCTAGTGCTCATTTTAGCATAACTTCAAATAAACTTGACATACCATTATCAAACTTGGCAAGTGGATAAAGGACAAAGTCCACATTTTTTGACAAAAAAAGTGGCAGAAAAATTCAGATAACGTCATTGTCGATGACGTCGAACCATACTCTTAATTTAAAGTTTGGAAATTCTAACATTGTTTTAACGCTTTTAAAAGAGGGCAATGAGAGAAGTTGAAAACTGAAAACCGTTTTTTAATTAATATCTGAAATATTAAAGGAGATATGACAATTTGAACTTCAAGGAATGCTCATTCAGTAAAGCAGTGATCCCCCTGAGATAAAATTTTCGAAATGAAAGTTCTTTTTCGTGTTTGTAACTCCACTTATATTGCAGGCTGATTGCTTGTGATGAAAAGAACGGGTATAGCTAAAAAAATCCAAATTGAAGTTATTCATGCGTTTATAAGCAACCAAAACCTATTGTGTGACGTCACAAAAAGTTACGCCATCGATTATTTAAGAGAATAAATTATCGTTCTAAAGGCGAAAACAAAAAATCTAAAACGATGATTGTTTGGTACACCAAGATCTTCATTTTATCGAATTCGTAGCATTTTTCAACGAAAACTGAAGAAAGTAAACCAAGAGGGTTAAATTTAAGGAAAAAGTATAGTTCGGGGGGGACACTGAAATTAATTTAAATTGTTATAATTCATAAAATATTTGTCATTTTGATAAACGGTTTTCAGTACATTGTTCTCCTAGTCGTGCTCTATCTTTGATGTGGTTTGTAGTATGAAATTATAAACGTCATATATCACGTGTTGTTGACGTCATTAATTATGACGTCATAATTTGTTTACATTTTGTCAGTTTTTTCCAACTAAAATGATCAAGACAGTAATCCAAGGATATAAGCAAAGTTTAA